GTTGGCTGTCCAATACTCCTAGCTAGATTTCCAGTGGTTCTCCAACTTAATACCAGTCCGTGGTCAACTTGTAAAATTCAATTAAGTTAATTTCATACTAAAACCTGACCTGAAGCGATGTTGTCCAGAAGGACAACGAAAGCTTTACAATTCAGTCAACCGGGTGAAAGAATACACGTAAATCTATCTTTTCAAACCATGTACATACATAGTTTATTCAGAAGAAAAGCAATTATAGCAAACAAGTGTACTTTCAGTAAATTCTTCACGCTCTACAATTTTAATATCCATTGTTTTTAGTATGCAATATCCAGTAAGGTCGAATCAGAATATTTTTAATTGGACACTAACTTGTGTCCAACAAGGTTTCAGGCAAGTTAGCAATGTGGCCACCAGGCCACTATGTGGCTCGCCATCAAGGTACACTCAGGAATGTAGTTATTGTTAGGTGGTTCGAGGCAGCAATGGGTGACACGAGTTCGAATCTAAGGCAGGGAACATGAGTTCCTTCAAGATTCCAGATACGCCTTGGTGACTGGTGAGTGTCTACAAGCACGAAATCTACGTCAGGCGACTCTGCTTGACGATTGCCTACAACCATCAAATAACAACAAATCAGAATCATATATCAGAAAGTGTATTGCATCGTACAAATATAAGATGGAGTAATAACAGTCGGTTAGTTCTGATTATCTATAACCATGCGTATACTGCAAAACATAACTACATGATTTCAAATTTTTAAATATTCCCATTGTTAAAATTAAACAAGGCATTCAAGTGAACAATATTGCTGTTTACAATTAGATCTTATTCAGACTTAGCTCTAAATTATGCACATTTATGTATAAAAAATCTAACCATTGACGGTGAGTTTGTGGAATAAAAAATAATAACAACAGTCAGACAGCTCGAAAAATGTATAACTGAACATCTTTCGTAAAAAATTATATTTGTAAAATCTCAGCGATATTGAAATAAGTAATTCCAACGTTTCGTTCGGCAATCTGGTCCGAACTTCTTCAGGGAAATTAATCAAAATTAACATAACAGAGGTTTTATATATAAAAGGCACATCTTTTTAAAAACTTTGTCCAATCATGATTCATAAACACAAGTATTAACAAGTATAATAAACAAAATTGTATCAGCTGTGATCAAAATTTGACCTCGGACTTACAAATATTGGTCTACCTTTGTTAAATGCTTTAAACACAGAGTGCATGCGTGTGTGTGTAAACAGTCGTAAAACATTTCTTAACGTCTCCATAGGAAGATATAGACAGTCAGGAATTTGACCAAGTATTATTAATTAGTGATACATATCCATTTTTATTTATTAATCAGGATTTCCTATGCATCAGCTAACATCAAACCTTCATGTCCGTTCAAACTGTTAGTAGTATCTAGAATTTTATGATCAGACGTATTTTCAAAATTATGGTGTTTAGGATTAGAGTTTAGTTTAAGCACCCTGTCGAACTTATTGCATTGTCTTCTTTCTGAATATTGAGCTGCTTTATTCGACCTACTGGAGTTGTCAGGTGACTCGACAGCTACGGATTTAGGATGTGCATTTTGTTCCAGACAACGGAGACTGAAAACACGATGATTGTGCCAATTACATAGTTTCTTTGTTAATTTAATTCGATAGCAAAATAATTCAAATGAACTGTCGTCAAGATTTGACCGAATAGTTCTAAAATATTTGGGCGTCGAGTGAGAAGTAGACATTTGTAAAAAATTATATTTGTAAAATCTCAGCGATATTGAAATAAGTAATTCTCACTCGGCGCCCAAATATTTTAGAACTATTCGGTCAAATCTTGACGACAGTTCATTTGAACATCTTTCATTCATGATTCAGAAAATGCCTAGTAAAATCTACCTGTAAACAATGTGTACTTTTGGATCAGATTTTTTAATTGATTACTTTCGCCTAAATTTCAAGGTCGCAGATAACTGAAAATGAAAAATACAATGTAATTACTGTAAACAATAGCAGCAGAGGTAATGACTATAAGGTTAATGTTGACAAAAGTACAAAGAATTTATGTAGGTGGTGACAGAATTAACGAAGGTAGTAATATGTGGGTGTATATGCAGACAATTCAATAAATAAATAAATAAATAAGGTGAAATCCTAAAAATTAAGAAAACTAATAAAGGTGAAGTGGACAGATAATCAGAGTTTAAATAAACATCATAAAAGTACGAAAGAACTGGAGAATAAGGAAGGGGTGGGAGGTATTTCTAGTTGAAAATTTATCTAGGCTAAGCAAAGGAGAGACAAAGGTAGAACAAACTTCTTTTGGTGTATGTGAAGACACTAGGATTGCCAAATTGATTCCCATAGCAGCTCCAGCTATGTGTGTGACAGGCGGGATCGAATTCCGTTCTATAGGTTCTTTGATGGAATGTGATAGATAACTTTGAAGGCAATTCTTCTGTCCACGTGGTAGCTGCCAACATCAATCAAATGAGACAAAATAGAACTTCCTACAGATTTTACCTGGCCTTTTCTGAATCATGAATGAAAGTTGCTCAGTTATACGTTTGTTCAGCTGTCTAATTATCATTATTATTTTTTTCCTAATTCAGAATATCCCTGTAACTGGTTAGATTTTTTATATGTAAAGCTGTGTAAATTAAAGCAAAGTCTGAAGAATATCTAATTGTTAACATCAATATTGTTCGCTTGTATGTCTTATTCTAATTTTAACAATGTTACGTAATATACATACTCTAAATGTTAATGAGAACTAACCGACTACTATTATTATTATTATTGCATCTTGTCCCACACACAACACACTTTCTGATATACAATCCTGATTTGTTCTTATTAGATGGTTGGAGGCAATCGGCAGGAATCGTCGCCTGACGTATATTTCGTGCTTGTAGACAGTCACCAGTCACCAAGGCGTATCCAGAATCTTGAAGGAACTGATGTTCCCTGCCTTAGATTCAAACCCGTATCACTCATTGTTGCCTCCAACCACCTAACAATAACTACAATCCTGAGTGTATCTTGATGGCGTGCTACCTAGTGGCATGGTGGCCACATTGCTAACTTGCCTGAAACCTTGTTGGACACAAGTTAGTGTCCAGTCAAAGAAATTCTGATTTGATCTTACTGGATATTGCAGACTAAAATCAATGGATTTTAAAATTGTAGAGCGTTCAGAAGAATTTACTGAAAGCTTAATTGTTTGTTATGATTATTTATGTACAGAACAAATTATGTGGATATCGAATATACATAGTTCATTATGAGTTTCGTATGAAACTTTGATTTTTACGTTGTATAGCTGGACATGTAAGTATTTGTGTCATACATAATATGTTTTTACGAGTTGATCATGGATTGTTATCAGTTAGAGATACACTGAAAACCAGGGAGTACTGGACAGCTGCTGTTTCATCCTAGTTTGGAAATCATCGGCAGTACGCACCCACTGGGGTTCGAACCTAGGACCTTCCGGTTACGAGACAGGAATACACTAGATCTATAAGAAGACCCTAAAAGATCTGGATTTGAGTCTGATTTTACACAAACTTGAGTAATAAAAGGCGAAAACCAATAAGCTGGCTGAAGGAGTGGCAAAGACACGAATTCATGTGAATACAGAGAAGATGGAGGTGATGAAGATAGCCAAACACTAACAACAAGCACCAATCTCTACCAACGGGAGAAATGTGAAAGTGGTTACTTCCCCCACTTGTCTATGTAGCATCGTTTCAACTGCAGTCGACAGCACGGATGCAGATGTCAAACCAGAATTGGAAAGGCAACGTAGACCTCCATCATTCTGAAATCAGTTCGCGAATCTGCTCAAATCGGTATAACGAACAAAGTTCCGATTTTCGACACAAATGTTAAGTCAATCACTGCTTCTATATGGGCCTGGAACTCGCCTAGCTCTTCACAAACAGTGAATCCAACAGGCTACTACTGACTTTTATCAACAACTGTCCACTTCGCTGGCTGGCTGCATACTGAAGATCAAATGGTTAGTCAGAAAGAACTAACAACAAGGAAGTCTTGGAACGAACCAATCAAGAACGTGTTGCTTAGCAAATATGTGGAAGAAAACGGAGATGGATTGATCGAGCGTACTTAGAGGAGGCCACTCAATGACATCGCGCTCAATGCAGGTCATTACTCGAGTTGAACCCGAATGGAATTAGAATAGTTGAATATGCGTGACATGGAGGTATTGTGTGAGAAGGAGATGAGTGACTCTGGGCAATCATGGGGCCCAGTTGAAGAGAACCCGAGAGAATAGGACAAGGTGACGACGTGCTGTTGAGCCCCTATGTTCCAGTCAGAACTCGAGGGAACTGTATCAGTACATGTAACTACTGTGAGATCAGATATATCGATTAAACTAGCTGGACCAAGGTCGATTAGGTTGGTTAGCATATCAGAACTTAGCTAGATCTTAGAATGACTGGTTTTGCTTGGTTAAGTAATCTGAAAATAAGGTCAGCCAATACCCTGCAATCACCGGGTAAAAGCATTGAAAAGTCATATAGTTAGGTGAAAAGATAGGTTGATCATTGAATCTTTGTCTTATAGTGTTACATACCATTCACATCAACCAGTGCATTGCTTACTAGCTAGATCATCGAACTGATCTAAGCACTGGACGGCTGCTTCTTTCGTTCGGGGTTGAATTCGCTGGCAATGTACTCTGTCCGACTCAGCCCAGACAGCCGAATTGTCCCCAACCACTCGGATTATGTAATTTTCAAGTCGTGATTTAGATTCTATGTATTATCATTTCGTTCAAGTAGTTACTCAGTGTTCTTCGTTGGTTTGTTCCCATAGTTCCCTTCTGCGTGGCCATTCGAACTTCAACATCATAACTAAATGCAATTAAATTATATTATCTAAGCATATAGATGTTTATATTGTACGCATTATGCAATGACTATAAGTATTATTATTGTTATTATTACTATTATTCGTAATATTATTTTATCTATTATTTCAGAAATCAATTTGAAATCTGCGAATGAATTATTTATGAAGCAATTCTGTAATCACTCAGGTAAGTGTACGCCAATAATTGACACGAAGTTCTTATTCACATATTGGTCAATTCCTTTTGTGTTAATAATAATAACAATAATAGCAGCTTTATTCTAGACATTTTGTAGGTAGTGAGCACCCACCCGCTTGGGTTTCAAACCCAGGACGTCTTAGTTTCAGGACAAGCTCATATACCATTCAGTCATTGGGACCCGACTCAATGGCCAGTTCATGAATTCTAACCTCTACCAGTTTATGATTTTAGAGCGACCACTAACCAATGCCATTGGGTTAGTATTTGTTCTCATATCCGACCTAGTGGACCCTACTGGTAAGGACTTATCACTAGAACTCCAGTCAACCTTGTCCTTTGAATGATTAGATATTTAGTAAACACTAAATTGAGCAAAGAATATCCATTTTGATGATTTCCTCTACTGGCTCTGCAATAATATGTATATATTTATGTACACAGAACATTCTAGAATAACCGTCATCAAAGATATTGGTGTTTTTAAGTAACAAATCGATAGTATCTAAAAACAGTAGTCTTGTGGATCAGGAAGAGGAAATTACCGAAAAGGATATCCTTTGCTCAATTGTTTTGCTTTTTCTAAATGTCTAAATGAATATTTTCACTATATTGAAATCTTCTGGGCAAAAAATGTTTCTGATTCGTTTACCTTCCTGTTGGAAAATAGGGCCTCAAGCTTTGAAACTTCAGTTGTGTTGGTATTATTTATGCTGTGTTGAATTGCTAGCACCATGCTCAACCTCATCTATAAACTGAGCCTGCTATGGGTTTAGTGAGGTCTTGGAGTGCTTCCAGCAGGGACCGAAACCCTGACCGTGTGTGTGGTTGGCCACCATTCAACAGCTGAGCCACTGATGACCCTCTAACGTATCTATCTTTCAAGATGCCGGAGAATGAGCGTGAGACGTCTGGCATGGGAAGTTAGCACTCAATCACTCACCAACATCCTCACTTGCTAGATATGTCGAAGTTTAAAGTAACTTATCTCTTTAGCATCAGTCAGTCCACGTAGAATCGATTGTAAGCCCAGCCTTAGGCGAGTGAATCAGCGATTGGGCATTACGATCAGCCTGGCTAGGCTGCTAGCCCTAATGACTGATGTGACTGATTACCAGCAATTTACGTCAGTTAGTGTCATTTTGTCTGCTACTTATTGTACCAAGCATGTCATCTGCATATTCATAGTATATATTGTTATTATTCCCTTGGGTTCCGAGTGGTAAATAAGGCTTCAGTAACACATATACAATTTCTTCTATTTTCTGCCGTCCTCTTCTGCTGGCTAGTTCCACTGTTTACCATAATCTCTTATCTCCCCCTCGCCACACGACCTCCCCCGTGTCATCCTCACACCAATGACCCACTCGTCGCTTCCCATTGGTGTTCTACTCGACGGCCTCCTCAACGTATGGCTGATCAATCCATCTTCACTTTCTTCCACATATTTGTTGAGCAATCGGCTCTCACCTGTTGGTTTGTCACGAGCTAGAGTTTCTTGTTACCAATTCTTTCTGGCCATTTGATCTTCATTATGGAACCAGTTGGAAAAGTTGTTGATAAACGTCTGCAGTTGCCTGTTGAAAACGCTTTTCGTAACACGCTAGCCACGTTTCTGACCCATATAGAAGCAGTGACTGACTAAACGTTTGTGTTGAAAATCGGAACTTTGTTCTTGATGTCGAATGCATCAGATTTTCAAACTGATTTCAGAATGATGGATTTCTACACTGTATTTCTGATTCTGACTGGCTGGTTGGCTTTGACATCTTCATCTGTCCCGACTGCTTGTGGTTGAAACTGTGCTTCCTAGATAAGTGAAGCCAGGAAGTAACCTTTGTGAAATCTCTCCCGTTGATGGCTCTTGGTGCTGTTTGTTGTTCCCCTTGTTGGTTGGTTACTAATCTTCATCACTTCATTCTTCTTTATGTTTATCTGGAGTCCTATCTTCGCTGTCTGCCAGCCTGTTTAGCAAGTTTCTTGGTATTCGCCTGCAAGTTTTCGAGTTTGTATGATATTAAACATATATTATCCACGCGTGAAATCTAGATCTTCTAGAATCTTCTTACTGATGGTCCAACGTATTCCTGTCTTCTCACTCCACATGCACAGTCTGACGCATAATGCAGTCCACCACAATTAGGAATATCATCAGTGATAGTAGGCAGTCAGCCTTGCCTTTCTCCTGTATTCACTTCGAACTCTTTACTGAGTTTTTCGTTGTGGATCACTAGGCACCTGGCTTTGTCATATAGCTGTTGAATGAAGTTGACAAAGACTTGAGGTAAACCGTAGTGTTGAAGTAGTTTCCAAATTACGTCTGGATCAGTGTGATCTGTCGAAGGCCTTTTCAAAGTCTATGAAGTTGAGGAAGACATTTGACTACCATTCTATGCTTTGTTCGATGACGATACTTGCAAATTGATCACCACACGATTTGCCTTTCCTGAATCCAGCTTGTTCCGGGGAGCCGGAGGGGTTCTGCATCCAGTTCATATCTGTTGCAGTCTCTGGGTCCGTCTTCTGTGCCTCAGGGAGAACTTCGTTTGGTCCTGCTGCCTTCATGGCTGTCCTTCAGTAGCTTGATGGCATTCAAGATTTATGCTTTCTCTTGAGTACTGGTGTCCACTGGTAGGCATTTATGTGCGTGCTGTTGTTTTTGGTGGTATTTCTGGGCAATTTGCAGGTGGTGATTGATTGAGGAGTCCTTTGAAGTGATCAGACTATTGTTTTATTTGTCTCTCCTCCTTGATACTCAGTTTCTCTTGAACATGTTTTATAGGCTTCATCTGTCTTGGTCTCTGCCCAGAGAGAGACCTCGTTATCTGGTATAATGTTTTGAGGTATTACCTTCGCCAGCGGCCTGTTCTGCTTCAGTTGCCAGCCAGTGTGTCACAGAATTGTCTTTTGTCATTCCCAACACTCTTCTTCACTTCTCTACTTAGTGCAGTCTACATTGGACTCAGCATTTCCTTCCGTTATTCAACTTATTTTTAAAATTCTTTTATTATAGCTCGACTCCACACAGTATTTTTGGTACAGCTATGGTATTTTCAGCATGTGATATCGGTAGCCCAAATTTAGCAGGCTGATCATTGAAATCGAATGTGCGTCTGCCGGGGATTCAATTGCGGACCATGTGCATGGTCAGCGACCGTCTTAACCACTGTGCCACCGACGCACATCTTTGCATTGAGTCACCTCTTTCCCCATCCTCCTCTCCACTCTTCTATTAGTTTCCAGGTAGGTGTCCGTTGAGAGCCATTCCTTGTTATGTCTCTTCTTTCCTTCTAGAAAATTTGTACACGTATCCTTGAATATCGCCATCAGGGAGTTCCGATATTTTCTCATGCAGGTTTCATCACTGATACCACGTAGTGTCTCCGAATTTACCCTTATATCTGCAGTTCAGTTACCCATTGTAGTTTTGTCCTTCAGTTTCTGAATGTTGTACTCGAATTGTGGCTTATCTGCAGTTGCTCTGGAGGATTTAAGCTTCACCCCGAAGATTCCTTGAACTAGATGATGGTCTGAGTGAGCCCATATCTGCTCCCCTTCTCAACTTTGTATCCAGCAAGCTGTGTATCCACTTCCTTGAGATTGAGATGGAATCTATCTCATTTGTGGTATATCCGTCAGGCGAAAACCATGTTGCTTTGTATATATCCTTGTGTTTGTACACGCTGCCTCGCCTCCGATCACCAAATCAATGAAAGAGCAGAAGTCGGCGAATAATTCTCCGTTCTCATTTATTTATATGAGAGCCTCTCGGCGCATGATGAGATCTCTTCCTGTATTATCTGCTCCCAGTTTAGCTGACATTCATATCCCCCATGATGATTCTGATGTCTCTGTTTGGGATGTTGTCCATTACTGTTTGTAGTTATCTGTAAAACTCTTCCTTCTTCTCTTGTTCTACGTTGTTTGTAGCACTGTGTTTAGCACTGGATAATTGTGAACTACCTGGCTTTATGAGTTGAATCTTGCTGTCATAGTCCTGGAAGGGGTTGTTTCTTACAGCATTAGGGCTTTGGCTGTTGTTGGTGACAACATAATAGCCCCTCACTGTCTCAGTGTGCTCGTGGCTGTCGGCTGTGCGACCAGACCGAAGTAGATTACTCACTCACCAGTTGACAGTTTTGACAGTCCACATCCATTCCATCTGCTCTGGCAGATTCCCTGCACTTCTATGCCATATCTTCGCATTTCTTTGGCTACCTGGGCAGCCTTTCCAGCCACCTTCCTACATTGTACGGATATTCCACGTGCCCATTCCCATTCTTGCTTTCGTCGAGAGAAGACACATCGTCTGGCTGGTTTCCGAAGCCTGGCTTTCACCAGCCCGCTGTGTCATTTCTCCTCTCCGATTCGAGAGAAGAATAAGATAGCTATTTGAAGTTTTTGTATTTTAAATATGTTTTCTATGCGTTGAAGTTTCTCTGTAGGTTTGATAGGTTTAGTGGTGCGGGGTTGCTAGCTTCCCTCCCCAACCCTCCCTCTTTACCCTGGCTTGGGAACGGCTAGAAATCTAGTGAGCTAATAAACTAGGCGAGTTTCATAATATAAATGTTAAAGGCGAATTTTCACTTCAAACAACCCACTGTATTTCTAGAGTAATTTGGAATCTTTTTTTCTTGATAATTAATTTAGGTTTGAAAGACCAATGTTCATTCAATAATTCAATAGAATATCATGATTTATCTATTCAGTGTTCTTACAATGGTACTAAGAAACAATTTTAGTAAGTTTTCCAATAACAAACAAACCCTAATTGAATAAACACCAATGCACACAGCAAATGAAAATGAATCGATGCTACGCTCAAGGTCAAACGAAATAACCTTGAGCAACCAATCAAAATCGCCTATCACAAAAATGGTATTTTTTTATGTAGTAAAGTTTACAGAATGTATCTTCAAGAGGATATCTGTCTTTTAGATGGTGGGAAAATATTTCCCACTTTCTGCTAAGTATTGTTAGTCACCTATCAATACAGGAATACATTTTAGAAGGTGAACTATCCGATTGGTTGATTGTTCTAGGTTATTTTGATGAGTCACTGAGTGTAATATCGATTCTTTATAATTACCGAATAATGATAGTGATTGTGTGAAGCCTGAAGATATTTTTATTTATGACATTTAACATTCTTGTTGTTGTCTTCTCTCTGTTGTTGTCAATAATGCAGTCCAAGTTATGCTTCTCGTCGTGATAGGTATTTATGAGCCTAATATGCACTTATTGTATATTGCTGAGATATGATATCCACTGCTAGGAGTCGAACTCGTGATGTATCAATGGGATCAGATATAATTGATGGGCTGTTGGATTGGGTCCCAGTGACTCAGCGGTATATGAGTTCACGTAGTAATCTGAGGTTTCTGAGTTTGATCTCTGGTGGGGTTCTGGCGTATTTGCGTAGTTATGAAGAGTCCTGAAGAAGGGCGAAAAATCTTTGCAGTACTCCCCGGTTTTTATTGGTTTCCCAAATGAAGCCAGTTTGTAATCAGACTTGAAATTATTCATTATAATAAAGAAAGTTTTTCTATAGAAAGATGATACAAACAGACCAGGAGACCTTGAGAAATGAGAAAAAGATATTTCATTTTGAAATTTGCATAAAGTCCAGTAGTTCAACTCTCTGAACTTCATAAAATCGTACCCCAAGCTAGAGAGAATTGCGAAATTCAAAGTATCTATGAAAAACAGAAAAAATTAGGAGAAGATTTGTAGCTCAGATGGATGATTTTGAAGTAGATGTGTTCTCTCAGCTGGATGGCTTATTCACGAAGCTTACACTGCCCTACTAGGATGTCAACCACTTCCTCGTATCACTGCATACAGATAACCACGGACATCAGTTTGACTGGGACAGAGTTCAAATATTATACAGCGGAAATACCAAGAGTGCTAGAAAATTTTTAGAAGTTGGGTATTCCAGTGAATCGTCAATCAATAGACACATTGACATAGACAAAATTTACCAATCGATAAGAAGGTAATTTCACAGACAAAGAGTCAAACTTCAGGTCAATGAAGCAACCAGTACCAATACAAGTGGAGAAATCTAAAATCTGACTTCAAATTGAAGTATACGCTGAAGATTTTGACTAGTAGGGCAATGAAAGTTTCGTAAATGAACCATCCAGCTCAGAGAACACAGCTACATCAAAAACGGAAAAGTATAGTGGAAAGAGAGTAACTGTATCAACAGCATTGATTATTTGAAATCAGGAGTACATGAAATCCAATTCAAATTTCAGTTAGAAAATGAACACTGTGAGTTAGACATACTAGACCGTAGAATAAAACGAAAACAAGATGGTGGGAGGTTAGATACTAGCGTTTATAGAAAATTGACACACTCTAACAAATACTTAGACTTTAATTCATCCCATTCAGAATCGGTGATGTAGGAGAGGTTTGGCTATATGTCTGTATAATCGGGCCAAGAGGCTGACTAGTAAGCCAGAAGATTTAAATAATGAAATCAAACAAATAGGAAAGGAAATATTACTAGTGAATCAGTAACTACCCACCAGAATTTGTTCAGAAATCTATGAAGAACCATAAAAAAACTAAGATTAGCAATAAAAATGACGAAAATAATATAGAATTCAAAGCCTGTGTAGTACTGCCCTCGTATAAAGAAGGAACATCAGAGGCCCTACGTAGGATTCTCAATGAGGCTGAAATTAGGGCAGCATTTAAACCAACCAACCAAACAACCACCTCTCTCAGAGATAAACTTTATCAGCTTAAAGACCCAATAGAATATGGTGTGTTATATCATATATACGTATCCAATAGGTAACTTAATAGACCTGTAAGGTCAGCACGTGTGAAAGCAACTTTGCCATTGACAAGAGCCATGTGAGCCATGTCACTAAAAGTCCCCAACTATTTACTCTTGGAGTCTCGAACGCCACACCCAAGTGATTGGAATCTCTTCATATAAACTTGAATAGCTATTTGTATTACTATTTCGCCAAATTAAGTAGCCAGAGGCCATCTTCTTAAGCTATAGCTTCAAACGAAACAATCGGCTGCCCAGTGTTCAGACCATTTGAACCTAGCTAGCATGCATCAATAGGTGATGTGAGCAGTATACAAACTACGCATACAACACACTCACAAATTAATAAATAACAAATTTTGAAGACAATAAATCCACCACGAGAGAAGAAGAATTAGACAACAAAATCCCATTCTCAGAAGTCTTAATCAGGAGGACCAACACAGGAAATTTAGAAACACAAGTATACAGAATTTCAATGCACACAGATCAAATACTCTACTATAACGCGATTACTCACAAAAGAAACTGTGTTTAGACATTGTTTGAAAGAGTTCACACACACTGTAGCACTACTCCTGTGTTGAAGAGAATGGAGGAAAAATACCTACTAACCATCTTCAAAATGAATGGATATCCTCACAATTTCATCAAAAGTTGATTAAACTCGAGTCATATCACCAACAAGAGACCATCATCAAAGACTGCAAGAAAATTCATTCTATTATATATGGAAAATATCTCTGAAATAGAAGCTAGAATGTCAAGACCATTTGAAATAGATATAGCACACAAGCTGGCTAGCCAGCACAGTCACTTCATTGGATATTGTGCAAACCGAAAGATCCAACAGAAAAAGAAGATATAATTAATACCATTTGCGTGTATGAACTACAATAAACATAACATCGGTCAAAGTGGGCGTCTCCTTCGAATCCGAATTCAAGAACACAAATTGGATGTGATGAAAAGACATGATATGTATTGTTTCATATCAGTGGACAAGGATAGTTATGGACACAAATTTGATTGGGATAATGTAGAAATTTTAAAGAGAGGAAACACCAAAAGTGCCAGAGAATTCCTAGAAGCCTGTTACTCAAACGAATATGTGATTAACAAACATGTTAATATAGACCAAATCTACCAATTAATAAAAAAGAAATTGCGTGACAAGGAAGTTCAAATTCACAGTCAATAAAAAATGATCAGTACATATATAAAGATGGTTACCAGGAGACGCAATCCTACCGTTCATGGAGAATTTAAACCAGTTCACTTTATGCCAAAACTTGCACTGAAGATGTTGTCTAGAAGGGGGACGACGACAGCTTCGCAATTAAACCGCCAACCAGCTCCACGGAGAACACCACTAATTCCAATACAATCCACCTGAGCTACAAATCTCCTCTATTATTTCAATCAGTACTATTATCCCATCAGGTTATCTTGCTTTCTTTCTTGATTAGTATCAAACTATTTCACCAGAACCTGTTTGATTTGCAAAACTTGCGGATTTAGTTTTGAAAATGTTTCAGTCATTAGGGCAGCTTGATATTTTTTATTGACATGTACGAGTGGACATATTTCTTAAGCTCAGTTTTATCGATAAAATCATCTTTCTGATTTCTTTTTTTCTTCTTCTTTAAAGTGACCGCCAATTAAATTGTCAATGGATTAAACAGAAATACAGACCACCAGTTATTTTACGTCATATTACTGAATCACAAATGATGATAAGGAAAACAATCAAAGTTGGGAATCATTTTATGTCGAAAGCAAATTGGAAGCGAATTTGCCCATTGGGATATTATCGTGAAATGTATATCAATACAACTGAGGTAAGAGTAATATTATTAATATTATTTATTCCCTTGGGTTCCGAATGGAACATACGGCTTCAACAACACATCTTCAGTTTCTTCAATCTTTTGCCATCTTCTTCAGCTGGCTAGCTCCACGATACCCATAATCTTTCATCTTTAAGCCCTCCAACTCACACGATTACCTCTGTGTCACTCTCGCATCGACGACCCAGTCGTCGCTTCCCATTGGCATTCCAGTCGAGGCATGGCCTGCATTGAACGCGATGTCATTCGACGGCCTCCTCAGCGTTTGACCAATCAGTCCATCTCCACTTTCGCCCATATATTTGTTGAGCAATCGGCTCTCACCTGTTGGTTTGTTCGCAGTCAGAGTTTCTTGTTGATAATTCTTCCTGGTCAGCCGGCTCAAATAAGTTGAGTGGCCAACGTGGTCTGTCACTTGACTGTATATTTTTATGTTAGGAGTCGGTGCATACCAGTCCTGCAGCACCATCGTATATCTGATAGGAGCAAATCGCATACCAAACATTCGAAGATTTCTGCTCACAGTGTTCAGAAGATTCTGCCTTATATCGGCAACAAGTCAATCCCTAAGTCGCTAAAATCAGTGAGGATTAATTCCATCAGTACTTGCATGATGATGGAAACCTCTGGTCGTCATCACTCCAGATGACAAAACTCCATAAGCTCTTACGTGGCTTTTTAAGTTCAAGTTGAATGCCTTGATACCTGTGACATACTTTCTCGGTACTCCCCTCACGGTCAAATACTGCCATAACACTTCTGTGCCTTCAGGTCAAGAAATATGGCAACTGCTGGGTGCCGATAAGTATGCCTAATTTCCGAAACTGGTCACAGGGTGAATGTGTGATCAACACACCATCTCCTTGGCCTAAAGCCTGGCTGGTTTTTTTGAGTCTGCTTCTCTAGAGCACTACTTATTCAACGCATGATTACTCAAGCCAGAACTTTAGATAGTATATTAGTCAAGCTAATCCCTTTATAATTATCACACGAATACTTGTCTCCTTTCTTATAAACTGGGATAATCAGTGACTTAAAGCAGTCTAAGGGGAAGATTCATAATTCCCAGACTCTAATTAATATCCTAGTTAACCCCGGCAACAGTTCGTTGCCAAGGTTCTTGAACACCTCTGAAGTCATTCCATCGGGTCGTACTGCTTTGCCCGTTTCAGAATAGAGGTAGTTTTTGTAACCCCAAGTACAGATGGAGAACCGATATCTACATACCATTTAGTTAGGTGTTGGATGCTAGACAAGTTAGACGTCTCTGAAGGGCTCCTCGAAGTGTTCCCTCCAAATTCCCAGTCGTCTAGCCTGAGAACTAATTAAGGCGTCACTTTGCTTCAAGATTGTGACACTTATTTGTATTTTGCAGCCTGTTTTCCTAATAAACCTAAAGATTTGTCTCGTTTCGCCTGTCGCCAATGCTTTTTCCATCTCTTTCGACTTTGTTGGACCTTCAACTTACGAGGCGATCCCTACTAAGTAGACTTAAACCAGGATGAAACAGATCTTTAGTTTACCCTGTAACGACAGAAGGCAAGAGTCAGGCAACAGATCATTTATTAAGGAAATCAACGCATATTTATATATGTTTTCATGTACATTACTATGGATATGTAAACAAACAAACACAGTATTCCGATTGGTTGTTTCTTACGACTTCATGTACATTACTATGGATATGTAAACAAACAAACACAGTATTCCGATTGGTTGTTTCTTACGACAAATCTTGGGAACGTAAATATTGACGTAAATTACTGTCTACCAATTTGACTAGTAGACAGCTCTCACCACAACCCTAGTTCCATACAGTCCTCTAAATGATTTTTGATCGTGACAAGACCTACATTGAAATCAACTAACTACCAAAAGAAAGATTTCTATAAAAGTTTATATATATAGCCATTACTTCAAATTATTGTATTTTGTATTTTGCTAGTGTATGCCTTGTCCACCGGATCATTTCGCTGATGAGTCAACTTCTGCCTACAAATGTAATGCATGTCCTATGCGTCAATCAACTACAAATGGTATTTCAGGAGCAATATCTATACACTGTTTAGCAAATCAGGTGAGTAAAGTTTGTTCCTTTTAGGTTTTATTTTCCAAGTATAGGCAGTGAGTTCCAGAGTTTCATCCAGATTACTAGAAATGTTACCGGACAAAATAGATAAATTACTTACTGAAGCCCACGAGTAAGAATTATGTCTATGAGATATGACTTTCGTAAATGGAAGCTGTTAGAAAGTTGTCAATTTTTAGCGAATATTCAAAACGGACGTCTGCTGACAAGATCTACAGTGAAGTCCAAATGGAGAAAGATTAGTTGAGCATCTAACAGTAGCATGTGAAGAGGATATCAGGGCTTGTCGGCAGTCATGGAGCAGGCTAGAATAGACTACAGAGAACGAAGTGAAATAGAAATGTGATCCTAATGCTCAGAGTTACACTCAGAACTCAATAGAAGAAAAATCCTGATATTAGTCTTCAATACGGTTGATATTATCCAGAGAAGGTCTAGATTGGATAGAAAGTCAAAGGTATCATTGGCTCTGTAAGTCTTCGCCTGGCATGTATTCTGAGATGTAGAGAAACGCACCATGTAAAGTTGCAGTTAAACATGCTTTGAAACTCAGCTGCTGAAAACTACTGATTTTATAGTCTCACTTTATTTCGGCGCCGCTCAAATCCGTGTTTCCTTTTTTTTCTCACATTCTCCGACTAACCATAAACTGTCGTCTCCTCGTCTCATGATCTCCTCTAACTCATCGTTACTCATTCGGGCTACACTGGGTCTCCTGGCGAGCGATGTCTTTCGACGTTCCCCTCAGAATGCGTTCGACTCACCTCCATTTCACTGAGCATTAGACTGTCGATCGCTGTCGATCCTTGTTGCTATCTCTTCCTTGGCATCTGATCTTCATTTGGGAGCCAGCGAAAACATCTCTTGATAAAAGTTTGAACGAGCTTGTTGGAGTTTCTTTCGTGAAGCGCCAAATTTCTCACCTATAAAGAAGCACTGATCGACTTGACTTTAGTGTCAAAAGTTCAAAACTCGTTCCCTTTACTGAATGCTGCAATTTTCCAGGCGGTGGATTTCGTCCTATTCGGGACTCGTCAGAAGGATGTACTTGAAACCAAGCACTTCGGTTCAGCCAATCGACACGAAAATTTAAGTTTGATTAAATTACAGTTCGTGTTGAGAATCCCAATGTTCTTTAAAACAAGAGGATTTAACAATGATTAATTGTTCCCTACTATGAAAGAAAACACATTCAGTGAAGAGTTACTGTTTTCAGAGATATCGTACTCAAGCTGCACAATCGCATATATGTAGTAAATAATCTTAGCAACAAGAGGGATATTTTGAGAGATTTGTCATTAGAATTGTAAATGTTAGACAACAAATTACGTAATGTTAAAAGCCTTAATCTTGTATAAACTATAGCAAAATCAGATAAGTAAATTGCATTGATTTCCTATCTTATTCGGATCAGCTAAACTAGATTTTGCTAGGTTTTCATGCTTCGCTAGTTTGACTGACTGACCTTGTTCTACTAGTTTGACCTATGAATTTGATCTGCAGTGATTGTCATTTCAGCAGTCTAAATCAGCAGTAGTATTTCCATACAACGAAGGAACCTCGGAAACCTTAAGGAGAATTCCTAATAAGGCAGGAATGAAAGTGGCTGGCATTCAAACCCACAAACTCAATTAGAAACAAGCTTTGCGGTTAAATGGTGGATCCTATGGGGACTTTAAAACAAAACAATTTAATTTATCTAATACCCTGCCGGTAATGATTGTCAGGTCAAATATATAGGTCAAAGTAGTAGAACAGGGTCAGTCAGTCAGACTAGCAGAACATAAAAACCTAGAAGCAAAATCTAGATTGGTTGACCCGAATAAGATAAGAAATCTGGAGAATAGTTCAGCTATAGCACTCACGACATGCACTTACACACAACCACACAATAGGATGGGATAGAATGACAGTTTCAAAATCTAATGTCACAGGGTGGAGGGAGAGACTGATAACTGACTAAAGCTTCATTTACCGAATCAAGTGCGAGCCAACACATGTCATAGGAATGATTCAATGCCTGTCCAATCGGACATCTAGAAAATTCTACTACCCCTACGACGACGAATAGGAAAGCACAAAGGAAACCATAAAAATGAAGTTTCGAAGTCGTGTGATTATAACTGATGATATGAATATGAACAATAATGAATTGTGTTCGAAACTTTATCATCCGGTAAATAATAATACTGTTTCACTCACTGTGAGTGATCCATCTAATAAACAAACTAATATGATAAACATAGATTTATAACTATAGAGTCTGAAGAAGAAGTTATCGAAGACAACCACTATTTGCTCAAAATAATCATCATCATTTTCTGATTACATATTTATTTTTATATTTATTTGATAGAATCAAAAAATCAATAGACGCTTTTTACGGAAACGTGACATCCTACTTAGAGTAATAAAACGAAGCATTCAACCAGTTTCTGGTACTACTGAAGAAGAAGATATTAAAGAACATTTAATGAAATGGTTACAACCTGATGAAGAGAGACTGAAATTACAAGATGATGCGATCAGTATATTCAAGGTTAGTCTGCTAAGGCAAACTTTCTAATTTTATTTGAATAACTGGTCAATTGTCTCTTCGAAAATATTGGTAGACATTTAATTAGACTTTTTTAATTAAACTCAGTTTGGCAGACTGACTTGATGTAATGCACTGAGACAAATGAACATGTGGATGTAGCAGGATTACAAAGTGTGCCTATTGGATTACTGGCCTTGTGCCATGTGTGACTTGTCGACAGACGAAGAGCAGTTAAAATTTATTAGCTGACTTATTTTACTTAGTGATAGCATCTTTGACTATAGCTGTGAGTGACGCTGGTTCGATTTTAATTTTTTGAAGGACATATGGCACTATGAGGTCGCAAGAAATTAAGTGATAGCAGGTCTGTGATGCCTTTTGATGTCGAGGACTACACGTGAGTTATAAAGACAGTATACATAGCTTAGTGATAGGGAGTGAAGTGATAGAACATGTTGACCACTTCACCTATTTGGGAAGTTGTATCAGCACCAACGGATTGATTGGTGACGAAATCTCAGCACCGATCCAAAAAGCTCGACCTGCTTTCGCTAACTTACACCATATCTGGCGTAGGCGTGACATCCGACTATCAACCAAGGGACGTGTGTACTGCTCAACAGTTCGCTCCGTTCTTCTCTATGGCTCTGAAACATGGCCAATACGAGTTGAAGACATGAAAAGGTTGACTGTTTTTGATCATAGATGTCTACGATCTCTTTCTCACGTTAGGTGGTATAATAAGGTAAGTAATGCTGACGTTAGGCGTAGAGTGTTGGGCAAAGAGGGAAAATCAATCGACGAGGCTATAAAGTTACATAGATTGAGATGGCTAGGTCACGTGCTGCGCATGCCTAACCATCGCCTCTCCCGACGGGCATTACTAGCTTATATAGATGCAGGTTGGAAAAGAGTAAGTGTACTTCCGGGTTGGGGCCCGCCCTCGGGACTCTAAGAATCAATGGCTGGAGACAATAGGTGACATGGCTAAAAATCGTTGTCAATGGCGCAGATGTATTCAGTCTGTGTAATCTTTAATATTCCTTTCTACCATTACTCATTCTGTTTCACTCTTATACTTGTCAAAACTCTATTGATTCTCTTCACTCATTTTCTTGTCTACCTTTGTGTGGTATTTGGAACGTGGCAACTCGAACTGCTGCACTTCGGTGCCGAGTTCTATGTTGAATCCAGCCAGCCAGCATACCTTGATTGGGAACTAGTTAATAACTACTGTAATGTGTCTGGTCCTTTATTTGGTGCGGAATGAATTATACCAGTCAAGATCAAAATGCTGCCAGCATTCTAGGTGGCTCACCATCATTTTGCACTTTGAAATTTAGATATTAGATGGTTGGATGGAATCGGCAGAAAGGCGTGTATCTAAGTTTCTTGCTAGTTGGCACTCACCAGTCAGTAAGCAAAGCGTAGCTGCAACCAGCTTGAAGGAACCCATGTCCCTTCTGAGATGTGAACCTGAATAGCTCAGTGCAGCGCTGAGTGATACTGCGGATACACCTTGCTGACTGACTGGTGAGTGCCAACTAGCACGAAACCTAGTTCCATGCCTTCTTGCCGATTACCTCCAACTATTTAAATTAGTGACAGTGTGCCCTAGGTCTAAGAACCTGGCCCAAAAGGTTTGGACTGGGCTCAGGGCTTCCAATTATTCCCATTGGACAAGATATTCATGGTGTAAGTAAAAGTCGCAAGCCTACACGGTTCATGACCGTGTCATTTGTATACAACAGCAGTCGCTGATCTGATTAGTGAAACTGAAAATATGTCAATTTGTTTAAAATTTAACTGGGAAAATATGTTTGTTATGTATGAATATGAGGACCTTGTAGACTACGAGCGAATCTAACTAATGCGCTGGCTAATCTGTCCTAATCGCACGTCAGCAACAACAAACAATACCGCCGGGCACGCAAGATAAAGAAAGAAGACTGGACGTTGATACGAGAGCTTTTACCGTCTCTACAATAGTCGAAATGTTAAACAAAACTCCGTATTTATACAGTTAGGAAAATCAATGTCACATTTTAAAAATATTAACAAACCATGGGAATTCAGTAATTAAAATCAATAATCACGCAGATGCGGGAAATCAATGATTATGCAAGTGTGGTAAATAAATAATGAATATTAATGAGTCACCTGTGTATATATCAATGTTCTAGTACATTTCCCTTTATGACATTCAAATTAACTTTACGCGAACTTATACCATAGGGCTTGTGGATATTCGACTGACGCCAGTGACTTTTTACTGACGGAATGATAATAACTTCTGAAGCGTTATCAGAAACTAAGATTCATTTAACACAGTGGTTTCGTCCCAAAAGGGGTCTCTTTTTTCAGCTTTTATGCACCTTCACATGCGAAATCGATCCGGATGCTTCATATTTTGTCTTGTATTTACTAACTCACCGAATTCGAAAGCATCTGATGATGAATTTTGAAGCTTGTCTTGAGAACTGATGTTTCCAGTCTCAGTTGTATTGTATAGAATCATATAGTTTCACTATTAACAAACTGTGACTTCCATTGAAACAGATATCCAGATTTTGAGACTCTGTACGGATTTGGACTAATTCCGATATAAATTTCACGATGAACCGCCATCAATTAGGGAATCATTGAAAACCAAAGGGCATTGAAAAAAACTGTCTTTTCCAAATTTTCCGAATCTTCCGCAATCCGCATCCGTGACTGAACCAGGGATTGAAACCAGGTCAATCAGTTCATAAGGTCAGATCATTCACCATTCAGCCAACGGAATCCAATGCCATCCGTGGAAAATTTTCATTAGGACATATAGAAAATCAAAATAAGTGATTCAGCCAAGAGACTCTTTACAACGGATTTATTATCAAGCTGTACAATCGTATACACATGAGTTTCTATAATTTTTAAGAGATTATACCCCCTGAGGAAATTTAAACACAGATGTACGAAAAGCAATTCAAATGTTTGTGATTATAATCATAGCTAAATGTCAAGTATCAAGTGGCAAAGTAAATTCACCTGCTCATATGCAGCTAGGTATATTAGTCGTTCGACTAGGGCTTTTTTCAAGAGGGTGCAAGAACACTGTCGTGTGTGGTTACAAAGAGGGGGAAGTGGAGCAACAAGAAGCGTGATCATTGAACATCTGGTCGGTAATGATCACCCTATCTCTCTAGCCTTCGCCTATAAAGTCATATACAAGGCGAAAAGTAATTTACTCAAATCACTACTTATCCAACTCATCTGTATTATTGAAGCCTTGTCTATCAAAACAGCAAAGCCAGCTCTATGTATAAAGCAAAAGTTCTTTCAACCCCTCCAACTTCCATGGCCTTAAACCCTCTGTGCTAAAGTATGGTTATCCCCAATCATATTTTGGCTATACCAAATTTTTCGTTTTGTCTATTCACTTTGTATACTCTTCCTTTATTACAGTGTCAGTTGTTACTATTACTATTCTCACTTTGAACTGTCCCCGGTATTATTTCACTCGTTCCACTTGTCATTCATTCTAAATTAATTCTGTTTTGCAACGTTAAATTCTATGTTGTCAAATATCACGGCATTTTACGCAACGTTTTTATTTTATTCGATTTGCCTACTAATCATATAACTGCGCACCACTTCCAAGTTCTATCCATCCTATGAATTATTCTATGTATTGCAAGTATTGGTTTTTGTAGAGATTTTGTTTGATTGTTTGGAGGATTTCATCATGAGCTGACGTCAGTTAGAGAACCACTGGAAACCAACCAGAAAGCACTGAACAGCTGTTGTGACCTAGTTTGGGACTCTTCATCAGTGCGCACCCACACCATTGGGTTCGAACCCAGGACATTCTGGCTACAAGGAGATCCAATGGCCAGTCCATGAACTCTAACTTCTGACAATTCATCGCATACCGCGACCACTTCGCAATGACTTCTTCGATGAGTTGCTGCCTCACCTTAAACCCGCTGTACCTTACTGGTCACGACTTCACACTAGGACCCCAGGTCACTACCTGAGTAGGGCTAGTTGCTAGTGAGCATCAGATTGATATTCAAGTATTGGTTTGCAGGGATTTCAGTTGGGAGAAATTAAAATTCATGGGCCATTGGGTCAGGTCCCAGTGACTGAATGGTCTGCTGGCTAGCTCGCCTTACAACCCGAAGGTCCCGGGTTCGAACCCCTCTAGGGTGTGTACTGATGAGGAGTCCCAAACTAGGCTGACGAAACAGCTGTCCAGTACTTCGTGGTGGTTTTCCGATTGTTCCTTAACTGATGTTAGCTGATGATGAAATCCCCCAACTATTCTATACATGACATTCATGGTTTTGCCACTTGACATTTAATTGTGATTATAATCACAAACATTTGAATTGCTTTTCTTACCACTATTATTATTTCATGTGTCCACACCTTTGTTTACATTTCCTTACAGGGTATGATTTCCTAAAAATTACAAAAGCCATACATATATACGATTGTACAGCTTGATAATAAGTTCGTTGAAAAGAGTCTCTTGGCTGAATCACTTGTTTTGATTTTCCATATATTATTATCGCCAACAAGTACACTTTGTTAAGCATCCGTTTCAACCCGATGTGATGACTTCCTCGCGAGACAACTTCTCACTTGAACTTCTGCACGATGAGCTAACCTCTTTATCCGTAAGTGCTGGTTCCAATCCCTGTTGAGTAGAGTCATGGGCTAGAACTGTTGAAGAATCCCTAACTAGGACGAAACATCTATCCAGTTCTCCTTAGTTTTTCAGTGATTCTCTAAATGATACTTATCGGTTTTACTGAATTTCTCAAGACTTTTTTCAACCTGTGGTTGTATGGAAAATACTATTCCTCATTATACTCATAACTTTTCGTGTTTCGCTTGTATTTCAGGAGCTGAACTGTCTAGGATTCTCATCACATGAATTATTCTTAATGATAATAATATCGATTGGAATTGCATGGTTTGGTATATGCTTAACATTCATTTTATTCCTCAGCGTACAAGAACCATTTGGTTATCAGGTGGATGAAAGGAAATATGCTAAGCGTAAAAGCAAGTTGACGAAAATCTCTGACTCAATTGTAAATTTGATGCTATTTTTCCTAGAATCAGTGAGTAGATTCTACTTCTTTGTATCAGTGTTTTTCTTTAAAGTATCATATATATATATATTCTTGATGGTGTACGAGCTTGCCTTGTAACCGGAAGTACTGGGTTCGAACCCTGCTTCGCGTGAGTGTGTACAGCTGAAGAGTCCCAAACTATTGGGACTAAATGGCTGTCCAGTACTCCTCCCTGGGTGGTTTCCAAAATGGCTCCTTAACTTATTTTAGCTCATGATGGGATCCTGTAAGCAGTCAAATCAAATCCCCGTAAACCAACATTTGAGTATCAACCTGATGTTCACTAGTGACTGGCTCTATTCAGTTAGGTTGCCTGGTTACCTGGGTCTTAGTGAGAAGTCTTGACCAGTAGGGTGCAGCGGGCAGGATGTGAGGACAAATAGTCGCTATGTTGTGAACTGGCAGGGGTTGAAATTCATGGACTGGTCATTGGATTGGGTCCCAGTAGCTAGGTGGGCTCTAAATCCTGTGGTGAGTGAGTGCGTACTGATGAAGAGTCCCAGACTAGGCTGACGAAACAGCTGTTCAATACTCCCAGCTGGTTTTCCAACGGTTCTTTAACCGATGTCAGCTCATGATGGAATTCTGTAACTAATCAAATCCATGTGAACCAACACTGGACAACTTATGTTGTGAAATATGCTTCATTCAGAAGGCGGTCAAATGTTTATGCAACAGTTTAGTTATAGAGTCAAAGAACCTAGATTCTACCGAAAGGAATTAGAATACTATCTGGGAAACGACTTTTATGGAAGTTACATATGCACACGATACCTTGAAGAAATAAGGAGCTTTTAACTAACACATCCCTTTCCCATGCACGGTAGAGTTACTAACATCACGCCAATTCTTACCTGTTTTTTTAAAAGTTACTATTGATTAGGCAAGTTTTAAGAGTGTGTTTGGCGGGAACCGAATAGATATATTGTATTCTGTTGCTAATGCAGTATTGAACTGTTGGAATATGTGAGATCAATATTCCATTGTACAACAACGTCTGTATCACACCACCACACTTGTCATCCCGTCAAATAATTTCAGCTGAAGTCGGTTTGGTCGTCTTGGTGCTGGCGTCTTTGTCTGCTTGTCTTGCTGTATCCATTTCCTAAGATGGCTGAAGTTTACTCGCTTCTCTCTGTTTGTATATCTGATCGCATATATACGTGACCCCGTCTGACTGTGACCGCGTATAGTCCTTCTCACTTTGGGAGCAGTTTGCATGACCCTGGTTGCCACGTTTTCGCCGGTGTTTCGCCTCACACTATCATATGCTGCCTTCGACGTAAAACCCTCTTCACTGACGGACTTTGAACGCCATTCAGCTCCGCAACAGCCCAGTAAGTCCTGCCAGAAGATCCACATGTCTCCTTCTTCAGAAACTGCAGGCCATGGGATTTTCATTTCTCGAAAAGCAGAGACACCAAGTATAACAGCAGAAGGCAAGACACGGAAGCAGAGGTATATGTTCAATTGATCAAACCGCTGTTTATATATCCACAGTTTAAATTCTTTAACCAACCAATGGCCGTGGGATTTTGGTTTACATTAAAGGATATGAAATAGAATGTTCACATATATATATATACATATATATATATATATATATATTGTATTCTATAAAACAAAATAATCGAGCAAAGAATATTCTTTTCGATAAATTCCTCTTCCGGCTCTACAATTATATATATGTTTATATACACAGAATATTCTAGATTAGTAGTTAATAACAATATTAGTGTTTTTTAAATAATATCGATTTGTAAAGTAAGATCACAATGGAATTACAGTTCATTAAAGATGCTTAAATTATAATAATAATAAAGATATAACAGCGAATGGAATATCAACTAAAATTAGAGAAATTCCACAAAAATTCATGATTATTCAAACCTGGATGACCAAGGTAAGGATAATGTCTGAACTAATTTCTTTCGGATGCATAAATTAGGCTTATTAATATGGATCCCAACAGCTTCAGCAATGTTTAGTAGTCGAACTCTTAAGGTGAAATTGAGATTCGTAGGTATGCGGTAAATGACCCTGGAAGCATGATTAACATCAATCTTGTGTTCTGTATCCACAAGATGAGATAGAATAGCGCTGTGAATAGATTTTGTTTGTCCTTTGCTTAACAAACCACTTTGCAGGGTGATGTTTGGAAATTCGACGCGAAACACGCCTAGTTATACGGCCTATGCAACCAACTGGCTCCACAGGAGCAGTTAAATTGGTAGTTACATTTTCCTTGCGAAACTAGAAAATGGGCCTTTGAAGGATGTTATTAATGAACTCGAATTTTATTGTCGGTACATGGATGATACTTTTTTGATTATGAAGAACAAGAAGGAAGCAAAGAACATCCTGGATAAATTTAATGAGGTACATCCTGCAATAAATTTTACTATTGAGAAAGAAAAAGACTCTAGTATTTCATTTTTAGACGTCCTTATGACCAGAAAAGAGGACAGCACAATAAGAAGTGTTTATAGAAAACCTATATCAACGGGCCAGTACATACATCTTCTCAGCTTCGTGCCCTTGAAATACAAACGCAATCTGATAAAGTGCTTGGTCCGCCACAGAGCAAGAGCAATTTTCTCGGATGAATGTCTTGATGAGGAACTTAACAATATTAAACGGTTGCTGAGTGAAAATGGTTATTCTGAAAAGTTTAGTGATAAGAATCTGAATCTGAAACCAAAGCTGCCCAAGTTACCAACAGTTCCTAAAAAGGCCTTGTTCTTACAAATTCAGTTCCCAGGAGACAGCACCAGTGAGATAGTAACACAGCGCCTTAGAAATGCGGTAAAAAGAGCATTCCCTGCGGCTGAATTACGCTGCATCTTTAAAACCACTCCTCTTCTGCGTTCGAGAGTAAGAGATAAACTGCCTAATTTCGCTTCTTCCATGTGTATATACCAATTTAACTGCTCCTGTGGAGCCCGTTACATAGGCCGTACAATTCCGTTGGAACACGTTATCATACCACCACAGTAGTAGTAGCAGTAGGCCTCCAAAGCCTCAGGATGGTGAGGGGTGGGTGCCTTGCGCTGCGAATCGGTCACCCCTCCGCACGCCTCTTGAAATGCTCCCATATGACCGGGCGTCTTACATAGCCTCTCCTGAGGAAGTCCTACTCACTGCCTTCACGTGGCGGAGGTGTTTTTCACCAAAGTGAGAGGGCGAAAGCGGATGCCCGGCGCTCTTCACCGGGTTGACTGTCCATTGGATGACAGTCTAGGGGAGATGGCTAAACCCTGATTCCAAACCTCCAACGACTGGCGTATGAAGCTCACTGGAGCTCACCTGCAGACGTATGGACAAAGGGCTTGTTGGATGTCCTGGATGTCTGGCCCCATTCAAAAAGGCGTATGAACCGAACTCCGGTAACCGGCTGCCAGTGGATAGTGGACTCCTTACTCCACTCCTACTGCTTTGTAGGTCACACTTGGTTGTGTAAAGGCTAGAGCTGCACTCTTAAACAAAAGGCTGAGCGATTCTGGGGACATCACTCGTACCAAATTCCCATGAAACTTCATGAACTCTCTTACAAACGATTCAAGATGTTCATGAAGCCGGCTCATCCTCCCGTAGGAGATGGCCGAAGTAAAGAAAGAAGAAGTAGTAGTAGTAGTAGTAGTAATAGTATACAGCTCCATGCATCAACTAGTTATTTCCAGTGTTATGCAAAAGTAAACTTAATAATTAATTCATTCTATTATTTCGCCTTTTTCTGTATCCCACTAGGTACTATGTTTCCCATTCCATTTATGCTACGGGATAAAACGTCGTACAAGTAATGTAGCATTTAAATTTAAGAAAAATGACTTTCTCTTACGCCTGTCAACTGTTAAACGTGAAACTATGAATATCTTTCGTCAAGAATTAATCTACCATGAATTATTTGAAATGAAACAAACAACAATGTTACAAGATATTCTAACCGATTTGACAACTGATCGAATAATTGAAGCAAATCAAGTAGAACAAATGGAAAAGTCTTTAAGTCAATGGACAAGTGGTTCAATAACAACAACAACAGATTTGAATGATCCCGATGATCGTTGTGAAAATTCCATTATTACTAAACGAGTTCAACGGAACTGTGATGTAATGAAACCATATTTTCGTATACCAAGACGTTATAATCCAGCGTATTTTTTATTTCATACAAAATTTTGGCGCCAATTCAGTAGACCACGTTCAAGATTCAATGCACCATTTTATCCGTTGCAAATTAAGCGGGAAGATTTAAGATTTAATTTTAATGTTTAATTTCCACTTTGTTTCTTCTTGAAAGCCCATTTTAGATTCTTATGGCTTGACTATTGAACACTTGATTGTTCTGAATATTTGTTCATGTGAATTGTTGTTAGTTAGTTTGTTTTTAATCATGTAAATAAAAACTGTTCTGTTGTGGAATTAAACTTTTCTTTTATAAGGTGAAGGTATACCTGTAATGTTAAACAGAAGGCGGTTGTTTTAACCAATGACTGATAATGGCGAAGTTAAATAATAGCGTCCCAGGGGTGAGAACACTCCAATGACCTTGAGTGCATGCTAGTCGTTGGCTGACGACACCTATCATTACTGTAACGCAAATATGAACGGTATTCACCAATTAAGGAGCTAATTTCACCTAGATCACGTTTTTAAGTACTGTTTAGACAATGAGTCAATAGCTGGTTAGGATTAGAGTTAAGATAGATATTAGGGTTAGGGTTAGGACCAGGATTATAATTACGGTTTTTTTATTTCTGTACGTTCCAAGTGGAACATAGAGCTTCAAACTAGAGGCTTGAAGTTTCGGTAGCGTTGGTGTTTATTTTTACGGGATGGGGTTGCTAGCCACCTCATGTCCAACCTTGCTTCCTTACCAGTCTGATTACTGGCTTAGCTAGGTAAAGGAGTGCGTCAACCGGAGGTCAAACCCCGGGCCACATTCATGGTCGGCGAGCATTCTACCACTCTGCCACCGACGAACACAATTAGAGTTAGGATAAGGGTTTTAATTAGGGTTATGATTACGGATAGTTTCGGAGTTGGTACTATTTATTTTAGTAACTTGAATGTTCAATTCTCTTTTAACGAAATATATCGCCAAAAGGATGGTATAGCTATGCGTTCACCACTAGGCCCATTGCCTGCAGATTTCTTCATAGCAAAACTCGAAAACACATGCCTAAAGAAAATGATCGATACCTTCAAAATCTATAAGAGATACGTTGACGACACTTTCATTATTGTCAACAATGAAGGAAATCAAGACATCTTGAATTCGCTTAACAACTGCCACCCCGCGATTCAGTTCACACTAGAGAAGGAGTCCAACTCCAAAATATCCTTTCTTGACGTAGACCTAACAAGACGAGAACAGGATGGAACACTGAGAAGAGATATTTACAGAAAGTCAATGTGGGACGGACAGCTTACTAACTTTCACAGCTTGTTACCCCTATACACCAAACGAAACCTGATCCGTTTACTCAGCCACAGAGTTCGCAGAATTTGCACCCGCGACACCATAGAAGATGAACGGGACAATCTCAAGAGAATCCTCGTCGAGAATTGTTACCCAGAAGGATTTGTGGCAAAATCAGTGAATCCTAGACCACAAAAGCCGCCGATGCTTAGCGTCCCGAAAAAACTACTCTACATGAACCTTCAATTCAATGGAGATATATCTGCGGAAACTCTGAAAAATCGACTATCGCGCTCACTTAAGAAGACCTTCTTCGCAGCTGAACTACGATTAGCCTTCTGCACGAAACCTATGATTCGTATGAACGTGAAGGATAAGCTACCACTGCTGGCCTCATCAGTGTGTATCTACCAATTCACCTACTCGTGTGGAGCCACGTATGTCGGCCGTACCCAGCGTTCGCTTTCAAAACGAATTACCGAACACTTACCAACACGGTTTTACAAAGGAGAAAAACGATGCCCCGCAGCTCCATCTTAGAACATCTGATAGAATCCGGACAATAAGCTACACCACAAACAAACTTCAAATTCGTCTATAGTGTATTAAGTAGTCTTCCTAAATGTGTACGAATCAGACTTCTTCAAACTGCAGAAGCAGTGGCGATTCACTTGTCAAGTCCTGAACTCTGCAATTACTACACTTGCAATGGAGGTATTCTATCTTATTAGCCGACAAGTAAATTCTACCTAATCTTTTCTTCTGTCTCTTCATTAGTATTATTTTGTCTTCTCAACTGTAATATTTTACATTTTCAACTTTCTTGTTCTCTACCCCCACCCGATTTAATTCCTACACCTCACCACCACTGTTACTGACTTGACCAACGCTCAATTTCTAGTCATTTATGTAACGTCATCCAACTTGTTTGCTGAATTTTAGTCCTAATCTAAATAGAATTATTCTCTGCCCCACCTCTACTTAGTCTCTTCCTATAATTACCTCTCTTGCTATCCTGACCTAAATTGAAACATTTTAGTCAGTTATATTACGTCATCTAACTTACTAACTAAATCTTACTTTAGTTGCTGTCTGATTAACCTTGTTTCTATATTAGATCATTCTTGTATTACCTGATCAATTATCTAAACTTGAGAAACCTCATGTACACACACACAAATAATTATATTTAAATGCGATTGTACAGCTATGTGAATGAATTCGCCGTCGAAAAGAGTCTCTTCGCTGAACGTCTTCTCTATTTATTTTTGTTTGCTTTATTATCCCTATTTTCCCAGTAAGCAGTCCTCGATCCTATTGCTGGAATCCATAGTAATTCAACCGATGGCTTTTGAATAAGACTGCAAAACAGGATAAAAGCGATAAACGGGTCAGAAAAAGAGCTCACTTGGTGAATACATGTAAAGAAACTGGTCTAACTTACAAACTGATGCCCCTCACTATAACTGGGAGGTATTTTTAAGTCATATCATAGAAAGATAACCTGTTTAACGTGTTTTCACGCATTTTCTTGTAAATAAACGTCATTTTTGTGCAAAAATCGTTTATTTTTACAGTTGGTCGGCTCTAGGTCCCTTTTTCATTCGCATTCCTTGGGATGCTATTGTTTAACTTTACCCTGATGATATCTCAATCCTGTGTAGACAACAATGGCTCGTTTATATATAGGTGACTGGCATCATTTTCGATATATTGTAGGTGTCTTTACTAAAACTGGCGCAGGATCATGTTCACACTAGGCAAAATATTAAGTTGTTTCATCCTAGAGAGACTAAAAGATGTTTGGGATACCAAACTGCTCCCAGAATAAGGTGGATTCAAGGAAGGAAAATCATATGCGAATAAAATCACAAAAGTATGTATCACCATCATCGAACAGAGCGTAGAATGGCGATTAAATCTCTAACTCAACCTTACTCACTTTGAAAAGACTTTCGACAAGGTTGACCGTGAAATAGCAGTGTCGCAAAACGTTATCAGCATCGTTCAACAGTTATACGGTGAAGCCAAATGTCTCAGCAAAGTTTTCCGAGTGAAGACAGGACTGTCTACTACTACCGATGATATTCCGGATTGTGGTGGGCTGATTCATGCAGCAGACTGTGGCGGGGGGGGAGAGAAAACTTTACAAGAATTGAACTTCGCAGATGATTTATGACTCATGTCACACAAACTCGCAAAATATGTAGAAGAAAACCAATAAGTTGGCGGAAGAAATAGTGAAGATAGAACTTCAGCTGGAGATAGAGAAAACAAAGATGATGCAGAAAACCAACCGACAACAACAACCGGCACCAATCACTGTCAGTGGAAGAGATTTGAAGCAGGTCACCTCTTTCACTTATCGAGGCAGCACGCACCACTGGCTGGCTACAAGGATGAGGATGTTAAAATCAGCTAGGATCGGAAAGGCAAAACAGATATATTCAGTAATCTCAAATCAGTGTGTAAATCTGTTGCACTCAAAATAAAGAACAAGATTTGGATTTTCCACACTAATATCAAATCATTCAGTACTTGTATGTGATTAAGAGACTTGCTATCAGAGTCACAAGAAGCATTTCAAACATCTGTCTACGCTGTCGATACCGAATATCAGAAAGTCGGAAAACATAAGCAACACGAAACTCTGGAAACGAACTAACCAAGAACCCGTTACCCAACAAATTTGCCGAATAAAATAGAAACGGATTGGATACAGATGAGGAGACGACTGAGTGACATCAAGCACCAGGCAAATCGTAAGGTTTAACCCGAACGCGAAACAATGAGTGTGGCGTCCTAGGGTGACACGTTGGAGATCGTTTTGGGGAGGTGTGGTGGAAGCTCATGGGTAGTCGTGAAGCTGGCTAAAAGTGACCGAAAAGAACAGACTGAAGTGAAGATTTTCTGATGGAGCCCTAGGTTCCGAGTGAAACCTAAGGGAATATATATATGTATATACGGTTATCTATTAAAGGTCTGGTGTGCTGCTGCTAAGGAGTTGGTTCCTCTGAGCATTGCTGCTAAAAATACGGAATGCTAAATAGAGATTTTTACAACAACTGACCTTCCTACACCCTTTGCATATGTTTATTTTATAGGTTTGACGTTTGTTAAGGAATTCAATTAACAGGCAGTCTCGATTCTTATGGGATCAAGTGTCTAGAACACGTGTTGTACCTTTGAGGTGCTTCATTCCACACTGAAAACATTAAATGTAATTTTTTATATTCACCAACAGAATTTTCAGGTTGGCTTTATATATGCTGTATACAGTATCTTCAAATAAAACAGTATTCTACAGTATAACATTCGGAGGAATTGTGTTCTATCTGTAAAATGCTTCGACCCCCGTGACTTATTTATCCCTTCAAACAGACCAAGCGGTATGTTGAAAGCCACTGAAAAATGCCTATGATTACAGACTGTTCTTCAAGAAAGTGAATAGGTGGTTAAAAGAATGCATACTAGAGGTAAATTCGACAAATTATGATGCCCTGTGAAAAATAAGGTAGTCTAATGATTTAGGCAGGTCGTCAAATTTTTGCTATGAACGATCAAAGTTGAATGTGGCACTAAACCATGAAATTGTGGACTAATGGTGCTATGAAGCATTTAGGACGGCGATGAGGTTTCCGTTTTCTGAAGCTTAAATATAACACTTTAAGACTCTTAATGGAGTGGATCTAAATCCTACACAGCATCTGTCATATGTGTTCATTCTGTCTGTATGGTGTTCAGTGTTTGGAACGTTTTAATTTACATACATAGTATAACGTTTGTTAAATATCCTGATCGCGAAGATCCTGGACCTATCAGTGTTTTTAGAAGACTAAGCTTAATATGCAGAACCCTAT